AAAGGCAAAAATATTTTTAGGACTCTCTTCTTCTCTCTCTCTGACCGCGCCCTCTTCCTTTAGGTGTGTTTCTTTCTTTACTTTTCCTAAACTCCAACGGCCATTCTTTTGCCTCTGTAGCTTATTTCCTGAGCCCATGCAGCCCAGCTAGCTCACTTCCTCCATGGCTCATTTCTACCTCTGATTTTCTAAATAAACTTTTGCTTGTAAATCAATAAATCTATATCTAAATGTAGAAAAAATTTACAGATACCTGAATGTTTTTTGAGGACTCTGGCCAGTTCTTCAATAGTTCTTATACAGTCCAACCCCTGTAACAAAAATGGCATAAAGTACTGAACCAAAAATGCAAGGTAGGTTTCTAATTTAGTTATAGTTTTTAGTACCTTCAGAATAATGAAATTAATTTCACCTCATTTTTTCCCCCTTTTAGGTGAGCATTAATTAGTATCCATAGCAAATATCCTAAAGATAACCCCCTTCCCCCAAATACAGCCTACTTAACTAACTGCTTTTGGAGGCTCAACAGAGACTGAAATTGGAGCCTCCAAAAAAGTCTCTGAACCAGCGAGGACCTCCATTTTTCCCTCGGGGTAATTATGTCACCTAGAAGTACCCTATGTGCCAGCATAAATAAGAGGGAGCTTCTATGCCCTAATTCATTCTGGGTAGCCCTTTATTATTGTTTCATTAAGAGCTGAATGACTGCTGTGGAGAGTGATTAAGCTCACATTATTTTTCCATAGGACTAGACAAAAATATAATGTATAAAATGAAAGTCATATGGCAAATATGAGTATTTCTAATAGATCATACTTAAAAATATTTCGGCTGGCCCTGACTGGTTTGGCTCAGTGGATAGAGCGTCGGCCTGCAGACTAAAGGGTCCCAGGATCGATTCTGGTCAAGGGTGCCAAAAAAGAAAAATTTCGGCTGACCCTTTCCAACATAGGTCTTTTTGAAGGTTATATATGTCCCACAATACACTGAAATTTTATTTTAGAAATGCCTTCAAAACTATTTTATAAATCATGTAAAAATTCTATCTTGATGATGTACATTAAGGTCATTCTAGGTATCGATCCCAATATTATCTACCTTATTCAGCAAAGTTGGGCCTGATAACTTTGCTATTTTCCCAAATCAGATACATCCTCAAAAGATAGACTGGAAACTAAAAGAAGGCATAAAAAGATCTTAGGCAACAGCAGCATCACTCATGTTGATATATAATATTTGCACTGTTGCTAAAAAATCTTTTTAAGAGTAGGGATTTGGCACTAATCAGATTTTACACCTTTTCACAGTATTTTTATTTCATCTTCACCAGAGCTGGCAAACCTTTTGTTTTGTGGATCTTATGGTCTGTTGCAACTACTCAGTTCTGCAGTTAGAGTGAAAGTGGCAGTAGAGTATACATAACTGAAGGGGTGTGGCTATGTTCTAATGACACTGTATTTACAAAACAGGCAGTGGGCAGAATTTAGCCCGTGGACCGCAGTGTTTGCTGACTCCTGACATACATGATCCAGGCTGATATGTGTAATAATATCCTGAAGCAAAAGGACCAGAATTACCATTCCCATTTTGTAGATTATCAACCAAACACCACATGTATAGGGACTGATAAAACCAAGTTTGTCTTGAATCCAGGTCACTGGACTACAAGTTCAGTACTCTTATCATTATACCACATTACTGCCTGCTAATCTAAGCCTAGCTGCTATGCCAATGGGACACTGGAGACGCTGGCTTGGCTTTCTAGAATTCCCAGAAGTTGTTTTCAAATTCACTTTGTACTCCAAGTTGAAAGTATAAGACTTTCTAACCCTTACATCCACTCTAAATTTCTTACTATATTTGGCCAGACTGTGCCCTGATAAATTTGGAGAACACCAAGCTAGACTGTCAAAGTTATCAAATCACACTGCCACAGCAAATGGAAGTGTATGTGGTCACTGTACCTCAGCAGTTTCAAGTCCATTAATTGTCATACAGACGTCAAGATCACTCTGTTTGAACCCAAATCCATTTTTGGAAGAGCCAAACAAGCTCAATTTAGTTCCTGTTAGGGATATATGAAAAGTAATAATTAATTACCTGATTACATTTACTTTTTGGATCAAAAAGGTCCCTCTCACAAATCAAAATATCCAGTTAACTATCTTATATTAACCACCTAATTATGTCCTTTTTAATCAGTCATTTATTATATTTTTCTCTCTAACTTTACCTTAAATAAATACAAGTTGTACATAGCATGAAAGATTACCAAGTACCACTTTATTCTTAAATGTAAGGATATTGCCTGGTCAGCGTGGCTCAGTCATTGAGTGTTGACCTATAAACACTCAGAAGGTCATGGTTCAATTCCCAGTTAGGGCACATACCCAGGTTGCAGGCTCGATCCCCAGTGTGGGGTATGCAGGAGGCAGCAATCAAGGATTCTCTCTCATCACTGATGTTTCTATCTCTCTCCCTCTCTCTTCCCCTCTGAAATTAATAAAATAAAATAAAAAATAAATAAAAAATGTAAGGACATTTTGAGGAAAATGTGGATCTCCTAAACATATTTAATACTGTAAGCTTACTACTTTCTAAATAAATTGACTTTTTAGAGGTGTGAACTTTGACTCTAAACATAGTCCTCAATGAAATTCACTTCGTGGCATCTGCTAAGAGAAATCCTACATGACAGCTGTCTTCTCTGTTGGGAAGCTAGGACTGAGCCCACCAATGGCCACCCTAGGCATGCCACACACTGAAGCCCTGTCCCCTTCACTGCAAGATTACGTTCCCTTTCTCAAAATTAACGTGACTGTAACACATGGATGCTTTCTGAAGGAAAGTCACCCTACCCTTTTTTTCTTAAAGGTAAAAGGTTAGTTACCTGGAAACTCCTGTCTTATGAAACTTTCTAGGTTTTGCCGAATATGTTCACGAGCTTGATCTTCTAAAATAGTTGGAGAAAAATCCTCTGTTTTAAATAAAGAGAAACATCAGAAACAAAGATGTTCACATTCTCTGAAAACTATATTTTTAATGAAATGAAACCTAACAGGCTTACAGAAAAAAAAAACACCCTAAGTTTTGTGTCTTCTCAGTAGAAAGCATGTACAATAAAGAAGACGCCTTTAAAAAAAGATCTATCACCAAGAACTGCTTCTGAAATGGAAATTAATCTGAGAAGTATGCCTTTCAGAGACGCAGGGTCCACCAAAGGGCAGCCTCCAGGAAACTCTTCCAGAGGGTGCACACACAAGTTTGTGAGCATGTGCATATATACACTGAGTGGCCAGGTTATTATGACCACCTGACGTTTGTAGGCAAATTAGCTATAATCACGCTGAAGTTGCTAGAGGGCCAGACAATTATAAATAGGGAAGCAGGTTGTTTACCATGACAGAAGTGATGTTTTCCTGATATGGATAAACAACGTGATTTAACAGCCTTTGAACGTGGGTTGGACACACACACACACACTCTGGGTGGCCAGATTATGACCACTTGAGATTTGTAGGCAAATTAGCCGTACACTGCATCGTGTGGGATATGGAAGCCAAAGGCCTGTTCGAACACCTTTGCTGTCTGCAGTTACCAAGATAAAACATCTCCAATTCGCACAAGGGTTGGACATTCGAGCATTGAAAAAAAGTCATGTGGTCCGATGAATCACGTTTCCAGTTGCATCATGCAGATGGCAGAGTGAGAATTTGGTGAAAACAGCATGAAAGCATGCACCCTCCATGAGGATGAAGTTAAAAGAGCCATCAGGCAGCTGGTTCCACAACCATCAAATCTCACAGAACTGGACAGTGCTATTCATCAGGCATGGTGTCAGATTCCTCGCATCACCTTTCAACATCTCGTGGAGTCAATGCCAAGAAGAATCGCCGCAGTATTGAAGGCAAAAGGTGGCCCAACGAAGAACTGATGGGGTGGTCATAATAATCTGGCCGGTCATAATAATCCGGCCACTCAGTGTATCTATATCCCATGTTCAAAGGCTGTTAAATAGTGTTGTTTATCCATATCCTCAGGAAAAAATCACTTCTGTTGTGGTAAACAACCTGCTTCCCTATTTATAATTGTCTGGCCCTCTAGCAACTTCAGCGCAAAATTATAGCTAATTTGCTTACAAACGTCAGGTGGTCATAATAATCTGGCCACTCAGTGTATATATTCAAGGAGGACCTACAATTTCCTTTCATAGGTTATAAACTCCAAAAAGGCTTAAAAAGTAAATCACTTGTTAAGAATGGTCATCTTTTAGCACACAGACACCTCAAGATGTAGCACCGTGATGCTTCCAGTTCTTCTCTAAGTAGCTGCATCCCTTTCCTTTAAAAGATTCTTCTTAGTATAAATTTAAACCTCTGCATACCAGTGCATCCCAAAACCAATGTTTCTTAAAGTGCTGTTATGTAGGCTATTAATTAGTGTTAACCAAAAGTATTCTATGCTCAATTTTGGAAATTGGGATTAAAGAGTTAAATAAATTCTTCACCATAACATTTATCAAAAGCCTTTATTATGCTACTGTGCCCTGTGTTCTCTGAGGGAACAGTAAGTAGAGTTATTCCTATTTGACCCATAAAATATTTCTTATCAAAAAACTAGAGGACCAGTGCACAAATTTTTGCAGGGGGTGGGGGGGTGGGGGGGTCCCTTGGCCTGGTGACCAGGGTCAATAGGGGCCGATTGGGGCAGGCTGGCCAGCTGGGGGAAGTGACTGTGTGAGGTTGGCTGAGGCAGCGCACTCACCGCTAGGGGCAGCTCCTGCATTGAGCGTCTGCCCCCTAGTGGTCAGTGCACATCATAGGACCGTCGTCATCCAGCTGTAACAGTCACTTAGGCTTTTTATATATATAGATACTATTAACTGTACCTAGAAACACATTTCAAGAAATTCCACTTGGGAAATAATAGTACTCTAATCTTAAGCCTTTAAAGATTCTCCTTCCTGTCTTTAGCAATTATTTATTATGTGTCCCAAATGGAACAGGATACAAAGAACACTGGATACAATGGGGAACAGAACAGATTTAGTTCCTACAAAGTTAGAAGGTTAGTGATTCAGGTGACTCTTGAGAAAACATCAATTTAACAAATCAAAAGAAATGTTAACAACTTACTATAACACTGGATACAAACTTGATCTAGGATACTTGTAAATTTGGGTGTCAATGGTGGCAAAGGTTCCAGCTGGATTCTTTTGAAGTCTTCAGGGCAGTCCTTCTTTAGATGACCCTCTCGTTTGCATAAATTGCACACTACTGTAGGAGACTGCAGGAGGAAGGCAAAACAAGACTTAAGATAAAACTTTATTTGCCAAATAAAGGGGCCATAAATCTTTTTTTTAAAATATATTTTATTGATTTTTTACAAAGAGGGAGAAGGATAGAGAGTTAGAAACATCGGTGAGAGAGAAACATCGATCAGCTAAATCTTTTTTTTTTTAAAGTACACAGTCTACTCTTCACATTCCACAGGACTCCTCCTATATAATAAAAGCCTAATATGCTAAGTATCTGGTTGTCTGGTCATCCATTCAACCAATCAAAGCATAATATGCTAATGATATAGTAAGGCCACTCAATTGCTCGCTATGACGTGCACTGACCACCAGGGGGCAGATGCTCTGACTGGTAGGTTAGCTTGCTGCTGGGGTCTTGCCGATTGGGACTGGGTGAGATGGGCCAGAAATGTCCTGGAGCCCTCCTCCGGTCCTTCCCTGGCTGGCCAACCTCTTCATCCCTTCCCGGCCCTGTGCACCTGTGGGGTCCATCAACCTGGCCTGCACCCTCTCACAATCCAGGACCCCTTGGGGAATGTTGGAGAGCCAGTTTCAGCCCTATCCCACAGGCCAGGCTGAGGGACTCCACTGGTGCATGAATTCATGCACCGGGCCTCTAGTGAAAATATAAAGTGCAGCCCTTCCAAGCTATCTGAGATGGGGACACCTGGATGGCATACTTAAGAGGAAAAGGCAGTTATTTTCACTACCAACAGCATTCCCTTTCTCCTGTGCAAATTCCCATGAGACTAAGGAGGAACGTGGACCAGTACTGGAGTTGCAGACCAACTCATTAACCACTACCAAAATGGGGAGTGCCCTGTTCTAGTACATAAAACTGTAATCACATGCATTACAACTGTTTCAAGTCTCCCAGTTCTATGTCTAAGACTGGCACTGATTACCTACCTTGCCTTTGGTGAAGGTGAGCTTACTAAATTCATAGTAGTTAGATGGATCCATGGTTGAATTTTCTTCACATACATTTTCCTCCTTAAGACTGATTTTATTAAGTTCTGTTAGTAGAGCTCCATCCACATCTTTTCCACATTCTTTTGAGTCTTCATACTTAGACTCGCCTACCTCCTCATCCTCTTCAGATAGGGCATCCTCATCCCCTGATCCGGTGTAGGCATTGTCTAACCCATCTTCATTAGCACCATCGTCCTCATCTTCTTTTCGGGTAACGCCCTCCTTCTCCTCTTCATCAGAGTGAATGACTCCTGAGGTCTGACTCCGTCTTAAAAGGGCAAAGTGGCTTAGAGAGTCTTCTAGTTCATCAACATCTAAGCTTTCTTCATCAACATCTACGTCATTATCTAAAGTAGCAAATCCATCGCATTCTTTAGCTGTAGAGCTTTGGAAGCCTTCTACATCCAAAGTGCAATCTGTCTTAGTATTTCCTGTGCTACCAGAGGTGAGAGGTTCTCCACGTTTGCTGCTGCTTAAATCTCGAGCATCAGCAGTCAAAGGATGCTTGCCCTCCCTTCCAATTTTTTCTTTCTCAGTTTTACCTCCAGTTTCTCCATGGTGTACATGAACATCCTCATGATTATCACAACTAACTTCTACCTTGATACAACCTGTGTTTCCCAGGTGGACACTGATGTCTGTGCTTCCTGTTCCCTCTGTTGGTGGGCTTCCAAAGCTTTCAGCAGTCTCTTTAAGAGTAACTGGCTGTGCTGTGCAGGTATTTACAGCTGAACTGGGAGCACTGGGACCTTGAGCAACAACTGACTTTTCGAGTTTATCATTTTTTGCTTGTAAATCTGGAGCATGCTTTGCTACTTCTTTAGAATGTTCTGAACATGTAACAGTACTCAGAGGCTTCGGAAGGCTAGATTTTGCAATTTTGTGTGGGAGAGCAAAATATTTATATGTTGTTCTTAAACAATGAAGTATGTATTCAAACACAGGTTGACTATTTAGGGTTCTTGCCACATTCCTTTTAACAGAGTAGGGATCTGGAATGAAAAAAAAAATCCATTGCATACATTTGTATTACATGTTTTAAAAATTAGCCTGCTCAGATAAAAATAGACAACAAATGAACAATTATAAAATTCAGCATGTATCTTAACTATGCTTTTAAAAACTGGGAGATGGGGAGTAAGAAGATTAGAGTTTAAGAACAAAAAGAAATGTTTTCTTAAATATCTGCTCTATGAAGAGAACCCATTCTGTTCTGAACCAGTACCCCTTCCCTATTTTGTTCTATGACTGTGGGGATAAAAAAGATGTCCTGAGTGTGGCTTTAGTGCCTGGGGAAGTGAGGGCTTTCCACCAGGTTCTGCTAAGTGCTCTGCCTCCCGACTCAGCCAGGCTGTGTGGTTTGTACAGCTTACCTCCACTCTTCTGCCCTGGGAAGCCCCATCACTGAACTGGCTGGGCTGAATTCAGGGGCGAGAGGGAGGCACCAGGAGGAGACACCACTTCTCTCAATCTTTTCTCCTCCCCTAGACTCCAGCAGGTTAGGTAATTGGCCAGAAGAGCTGAGCCAGAGAAACTGCAGGGGAGGGTTTAAAAAGGTGAGATCCCTATGACTGTACAAAGAATTTATGCAAAATGCAAAAAAAACCCTCTTATGCAATATAAAGCTTGAAAAAAATCAAGCAAAAATAACAGAATTCCATTTAGGAGATTCTTTAAATTATTTAAAGGAGGAGAATTAAGATTTCTAGAGAGGTTTCAACCGTCTGACTTTGAAAAGCTGAGAAGAGATAGTCCATTTAATGAAGTCTATGGGGCACATCAGTGTGTCTTTTATTTTATTCATTTTTAATCCTCACCTGAGAATATGTTTTAGAGAGAGGGAGGGAGAAGGGGGAGGAGAGTAGTAAAGGAGGGAGGTAAGGAAAGACAGACAGAGACAGAGAGATGGGGAGAGCGAGAGAAAGAGAGAGAGAAAACCATTAAGGTGACAGAGAAACATCGATCGGTTGCTTCTGACCAGGGACTGAACCTGCGCCTAGGTATGTGCCCTGACTGGGAATTGAACCTGCAACCTTTTGGTGTATGGGATGACACTCCAACCAACTGAGCCACCTGACCAGGGCCACATCAGTGTGTCTTTTAAACAATGTTTTCAATTAAATGAGCCTCACTAGAAAAAGTGTTTTCATTAATAAATTCTAAATGTTACTGCAGATATTCCAAAAATAACTATCTTTTCTATGGTGGGGAATCTAGCAAAGAATGTTATTTTGCATGAGAAAAAGTATTATCCTCAACCTCTGTAAAACTAAACATCAACAATTCATGAAATGACTCAATTAAAAAATACAGAAATGAGGACATTAAAAGAAGAAAGGGGATTCATACGTCACTGGGAGAAAACTTTTTAAGGGCTCAAGTTTTTAAGCAATTTACAAAGAAAACAAGGACTCAGCCAGCCATTATTTAGTTGCTTAACTGATTAAGATGCACTTATTGCTGCACTTAAGAAATACACTTCAAAACAAAAAGTTTGGTTACTTGTAATGACCACTGTAATGCATGCCAAGATCCTATCTACTTCACTTTTGGGGTCAGGCCTACCTTACATGTAGGAACTGAAAAGCGACTGAAATAAAAAGCATGCTGTTAGACAGGTACCTTAAAAAATAAAAAAGGGATTAAAGATAAACATTTTGGGATACCTTCGATGGCAATGCGCTTTTTGGGCCAATCCTTTGATTCACGAGATATCATTTCTTTGACTCGGATACTTATCACTAAATCAGCCAAATTAAATTCTAAAGCATAGAATCGAAGCAATTCCACCCAGAGCTGCCCAACTGGCACTGAAGGCTGGTGTTTTAAATCAAATATTAATGATACCTATTAATCGCAAAGAGAAAACACAGGCATTTCAGATGTCAGCACAATTTGAAAAATTAGCATTCAAAAGCATGAAATTTTTAAAAATCTTAAAAACCTTAGCAAAGATGTGAATTTGACAACCACTTAGATAAATCGCATTCTAGTTTTAATTTTGCTTGTAGAAAAAGAGCATTCTTTCACTACACTGCTGGGATTAGAGTATTTTAAAACCTTGTCATCATCATAGGAATAGATAGGCTGTTGTATGTAATCAGACAGTACTCCTAGTTTTGAAGTTCTAATGACAGGTGGAGAGAACTGTGCATCTATTTCATTGAGCTCTCCCTGTTTCTGCTGCTGGAGGACGCCTTTACAATGTTACACACAGAAATGGGCGGCAGCTAAAAGCATAGAGCAAAAGGAAATATGCTCCTCTCATTTGCTCTGAGAAGCTACTTAAGCTCACTGAATCTGCCAGTGATCTTAAATTAATTTGAAAGTCAAATAACTCTCTATGCCAGATATTACTGCTAGTTTTACATTCACAGACTCTTGACAAGTTGGAACACACTGCAATTAATTGGAAAGCACACAGGACTTAGAATAGGAAAAAAGCACATGTCCAATACTAATTCTGCCACTTCATAGTTAACTGCTCTATGACTTAGCTTCTGCCTTCTCATTTGGCAGTATAGCACAGTGGCTAAGAGAACTGGCTTTGGAATGAGACATGCTTAGGTTTGAAATCCCGTTCCGCCATGTACTAGCTGTGTATGATCCTAGTCAAGGTATATAAGCTGTCTAAGCCTCAGTTTCCTCATGTGAACAATGGGGATCACAGTACCCACCTCATAGGGTTGTTGGGAGGATTGAGTGAGAGAGTGTCTGAAAAGAGCTTAGCACAGTGCCTGGCACACATGTTCAAAAAATGGTCGCTATCATTATCTGCAGAGTAGGGATGATACCACCTATAACACAGGATAGTTATGAGGATTAAATCAGAAACAAGGGAAAGCAGACGTGGTTGCTCTCTGTATTTTTTCACTTAGATAAAATCTTTAAGTACAAGAAATCCATTTATCACTGAAACATAAAGTCACAACTGTAAGATGCCGTTAAGAAGTAATCTAGTTCAACTCCCGTATGTTACAAGAGAAGAAACTGAAGCCAGAGAGTTTATGTGACTTGTCAAAGGTCCCACTGCTTGTCAGCGGCAGAATGAGAACAGTCTCCCATCCCAGTACAGTGCTATTTCAATCACACCAAGCAATTTCGACAGTTTAGATATCCCTTTCAGAAGTGGCACCATGATTACTCTCTCCAAATAGCATAAAAATGTAAAGACATAGTCTTTAATTGGACTTATAGTAATAGCTTTTCCTTCTAAGGTATAAATTGGTTCCTGATTGCATTTATTATATCAAGCTTTAAAACAAGTGGTAGAGTATTTTAATAACTACTACATCTCAACCACGCAGAATCTATCTAATAAGACAAAGTCATCAGGTGGATTTACAAAGCAGACCTGGTTGAAAAAGGAAGTTGTCTAGGTCCCAAACTCTATACAGTTGAGGACACAAAGAAAACCCCCAGAAATTGAAAGCCTTATTAAACTTCACATCTTCAACAATATGCCTTATTCAGCATTACTAAGGATTTTTAAGCATCTCATTGAAATGACTTGGTAATACTGTACTATAGAACTTAGAGACCTTTCATATCTCTAAACTAGTGGTACTTAAGTGGATTTTTTTTGGTTATTGTCATTGTTTTTTTAAAGTAGAGAACACTTTCTTTTTTGGCACTGAGTTAAGCATTCTATAAATCAATGACCCTATGAGAGGGTACCAATATCATCCCCATTTATAGGTGAGGAAACTGGGGCCCACAGAAAGATTACCTCACTTGCTCAAGGACACACAAGCTAGGAAGTGGGAGAGCTGGGATACAAATACACGTATTCTGGCTCCACAGGCTGTGCTCTTATCCACTACTGGAACCATAAATAGGACACAGATAAAAGTGTTGCTGTGCTGGTGACAGCAGAGGAAGACAGGTTCTCTCTCCTCTTCCCCCTCCAGGATTATAGAAAGCAAACTGGAGTATCTATGATTCACCACTACCTCCTCTTTGTAGGCTTGGACTAGAGGAGTGTTATGGCCTACTGGTGTAAAGCTGGGATTAAAATCCTGGTCTCAGAAGTAGTTTGTGGATATTATTATCATGTCACCCCCAAGGGTTATAAGGTTGTGGGGTCTGCCCCAATTTGGGGCAAAATCCTATTCTTTTTTTTTAAAGTATATTTTTATTGATTTCAGAGAGGAAGGGAGAGGGAGAGATAGAAGCATCAATGATGAGAGAGAACCATTGATCCGTTGCCTCCTGCATGCCCCTCACTGGGATAAAGCCCACAACCCAGGCATGTGCCCTTGACCGGAATCAAACCTGGGACCCTTCAGTCCACAGGCTGACACTCTATCCACTGAGCCAAACTGGCTAGGGATGAAATCCTATTCTTATTACTAGTATAGTTATATTGCTCAGATTTTTTTTTGAAATTCAAATGGCAATTCTTTCTTTGTGCATAAATTTCCCTGCCCACCCCTAACGGTATGGAAACAAGTTCATATAATTACTCGTTGTTATTTTAATAATCTGAGGTTAACTTTTCATCTGTTTAAATCTCATAATACCATCATCTAAGACCTAAGTACTTTGAGAATAGGTAGGGCTTTAGCTTTGAATTCTGAGTATCTTTCACAGAACCCTGCACACAGAACTACATCAGTAAATCTGTAAATCTCATGTGAATTTTACTTTTTCTCATTACTCGTCTATTCAAAGGACTGCACAGACTAAGAAATGAAACATCAATGAAACAGTTAAGAGAACTGAGGAAAGAAGAGAGGATTGATTAATTAATGAACTCAGCAATTAACGACAGAATTAAAAATAGATAAAATTAAAAATAAGAGAGAACACACCTGTCCTGTTTTAACAGGTATTTTTTTTAGTGCCTCTTCTTTTGCTGTGGCAGCATCCCCTGTGGCATTATCAGTGTATTCCCAGACCACGACGTCTTTCTGAATATCTTTTAGGTTGAAGTTGCCTAGTTTATTCAATGAGAATCCTTCAATCTAGAGAAAAATTAGACATACATTATTATAAGGTAGAAACAATTTTATATCAATCAGAACACATTAATCCTGAAAGGAATGAAAAGATAACACACTATGGTTCATTAAAAATGTAAAAGGTATCAGTTATGAAATTTTTCTGAGATATTTATAAATTAAAAAAAATATTTTTAGAGTAAAAAATAAAGTTTTGATTTGCAAAATAAATGATTTTGTGAAATACCTCTTTAATAAATAAGAGAAGGCAAAATGGCCCAGGCCAAAGGCCACAAGTTCTGTAGTAAATCTGTCTGGGATAAAATCTCAGATCCTGGGGTGGGAACAGGTAGAAGAGAGTATAGGGGGGGATAAATGGTGATGGAAGGAGACTTGACCTGGGGTATGAACACACAATACAATATACAGATAATGTATTCTATAACTATACACCTGAAACTTATATAATTATATTAACCAGTGTCACCCCAATAAGTCCAATTAAAAAAAAGAGAGAGAGAAAAAATCTCAGCTCCCTCATGACTTTCTTTAGGTCTCAGGTTTCTGTTTAAAGAGATAACACTAGACCCTCCTTCATGGATAGTTGTGACATTAAATAATGGAAATAAAGGATTCAGATACAGGTATGGTATGGAGTAAATGTCAATAAATGTAAGAATTGTTTCTACTGATATTGCTGAGATATGAATTGCTGAAAAAAAGCCTGGGCTCAAAAGGTCTAAGAAATGTGGACAAATCTGAACAGGTTTCTTTAGTGTACAATAGGATTTATCACAGCCTTGAAAAGGTTAATGTATATAATGAATGAATATGGAGTGGGGTGATGTGGTATACTATTCCCCAAATGTATTTCCATATCAAATGGACTACTTTGGTTTAGCACAGTAATCCTGAGAAAGAGAGAGAGAGAAATCATGTTGCTCCCAGTTATAATGGTTTCCTTCAAACTCAGGATGAAATTCACAGCCCTTTCCAGGGCTGAGAGAGGGCCCACATAATCTGGCTCTTTGCTTCTTATCTGACCCATCTTCCTGGCTCACAGCTGATACCTGCTGCTACTTCTGCTCGGAAGGTTCTTTCCCCCAACAATCAGGTAGCCCACTCTCCCTCAAAGCACTCAGGCTCTGCTCGAGCATCTTTTTCTCTAAATAGATCCTTCGCTTTCACTTTCTGTCCTTCCTCCGGTTTATTTTTCCTCAGAGAAATTACTGCCACTTGATATGTACTTATTTACCTTTCTCCCCTCACTGTATATATAAATTTGAGGACAAGGATGTTGTGTTGTTCACTGCTCTAACTCTAGCATCTAGAACAGTGCCCAGCACAGGTAAATGCTCAGTAAGGACTTGCTCACTGACTGAAAGAACAAACTGCTCTTACAGAAAATATGAGGTGCAGTGACTGTTAGATTTACATATTCAATGTTTTTTTTCAATTCTGTGGATTATGTTTTTGTTTTCTTGTTGGGTTTTGAAGAGCAAAACATTTCTAAAGAGTTTATCAATATTTTTCTCTATTGATGCAGTTTGCACTTTTAGTTTTCTACATAAGAAATACTTGCCTATCCCCAGGCTGCAAAGATTTTTCTCCTAGGCGTTCTTTTGGGCATTTTATAGTTTTAACTATGTCATTTATGTCTCTGATTCATATTGATTTAATTTTGGGGTATGTTGTAAGGCCAAGATTTAATGTTCATTTATGGATATATAGTTTTTCCAAGATCAGTTATTGAAAAGACTTTCCTTTCCCCCAATGAATTGCTTAATTAGGGCAATTCATTCAGATTTTCATGGGTTTGTGTGTGACAGAGAGCATTATCAACTAAGAGGTGACGTTGTTCTTTCTTTTTTCCCACCAGAAAAGAACAGTCTAGCAAAGATACCTTCTCAAGACCCTGAATTCTTTCATTTCAGTACTAAAAACACAAAGAGAGCTCCCTTAGGCAACCTTGCAAAAAGTGGACTGAAACTTCTTATTCCAGGACATAGTTTATAAGGCGCTTATTCTGCTTTAGTCTTTATTCCTGGGTCATGGCAGATAAAGGGTGCTGCTTAATTCTCAATCTATTAAGTAAAAAGAAAAAAATCCTTCCCCTCCAGCCCCAAATATATCCAAAGTTAAGTAACTACTACTCTGGTAAATGTTCCTTAAATAATGAGAATTCTACATATGTTAAGAAGAAAGGTAGTTAAAATATCCAAATGTGCCAAAGTTAGCTTTGCACCAAGTGAGAATTTCTATATAAAGTAAGTGTACACAGACTTTATCAAGATAAATACCTTGGTATTAAAAGTGAGTTTAATTTTCTTAAAGATAGTATCTAAGTATTATTTAAGAGCTTTGGAAACCAAGATGGCGGCACAGGTAAACACCAGAAACTGCTGCCTCGCACAACCACTTCAAAAATACAACTAAAAGACAAAACGGACACCATCCAGAACCACAGGAAGGCTGGCTGAGTGGAAATTCTACAACTAGAAGGAAAGAGAAAAGCACACAGACTCAGAGGAGGTGCAGAAGTAAAGTGCAGAGGTACAGAGGCGCACACGGCAAGGGCTGGCAATTGAGGACACGGTTGTCTTTTTCAACCGGGAGGGAGTCGCAAGCACCCGACTGCTTTGAACTCCAGTGCTGGGCGAGTTTCTGGGGACCCAGACTCATACAGGGAGAAACTGGACTGTCTGGCATCGGGCAGAACTTGAGGGTGGCTTTCTCTCAGAGGTGCTTGCAGCAAATACCGAGGAACACTGAGACTCGACTGGGGGCCTCTTAGGGCAGGGCTGAGGATCAGCCATAGCTGTTTGCTCCTCCCTGTTGATTCCCGCCCCCCCCAAGCTGTGAGCAGAGGCTTTTGCATAATAATGGCCTGGCCCTTGTGCAATCTAAAATTACCTAACAAACTGCAGCGTGGTCAGAGAGACCCAGAACATCCAAAAGAAGGCCGAAGGCCCCAGAGTAGATTGCATTACTTCACAGCTGGGCCACATCTGGGCACCTCCAAACCTCAAACAAAGAAGAGGAATCTGCAGATATCTCCATAGCTCCTGCGGGGTAGCCTCAGGCAGAGGCTAAATTAGCACCTCCTTAGATCCAAGAGCCAGTGTACCCAGTGGTC